CCCGGCGACGCGCGTCTGCGCGCAAACTGTAGACGCGCGCGAGCGCCTTCGCTTCTAGATCCCACGGCGGTGATCCGGCAAGGAGGTTCGCCGCCTCCCCGGAGATCGTGCGATACCCGCGGATTACTCGTATAGCCATGACCCTCTGGGACGCGACCAGCGTACGAGCCGGCCGCCGCTTCAAGTCCGGCGCCCACACAGGGGCACCGTAGAGGGCCATGGATCGCACAATCCCCATATACAACCTCCGGCAGGAGGCGTTTGGCCCCCCGAGGTTGGGAAGGAGCCGCTTGAGCGCGGCCCCAGACCGTTCCAACTTAGGGGCCAAACGACGAAAATGCTCCGTGAAGTTCCATCGGCTGTCGAGGACGAGACCCAGGTACTTCATCGCCGACTCGACGCCGATGGTAACTCCTCCTGCCGTTACTTGGGACCCACCTGGAGGTGGCGCGCTCCGACGGCCATAGAAGCACATGGCCTCGGACTTGTGGAGCGCCACCTCGAGTCCCAACTGCCGGATCCTTGCAACGACTGTCGCAACCGCTTGTGACATCAGGTCGGCCGCCGCCTGATGCGACCTCCCGTTCGCCAGCACCAGCGTGTCGTCAGCATAGCAGACAATGCTGACGCCGCTCGGGAGGTCGGTGCGTAGCACCCAATCGTACCCGATGTTCCACAGGAGAGGTCCCAGGACCGATCCCTGTGGGACACCGCGCGACACCTCTCGCCGATTCCACACGCCCCGGTGACCGGGGTAGATGACACATCTGTCCGTCAAGTAAGCCTCGACTACACGACGGAGATAGGCAGGCACCCGGTGGTACCGGAGTGCCTCCAAAATGCAGCTCCAGGGCAGCGAGTTAAAGGCGTTGGCGATGTCCAGAGACACCGCCACGACGACTCGCCTCCCGGCCAACGCTGTCCCCGTCGTGAGGTCCCTCACGCGCATGATGGCGTCCACCGTGGAGCGCCCTCTGCGGAAGCCGAACTGGCCGTCCGCTAAATCCGGCCCCCTTCCAGACAGGTGCCCGACGAGGCGGTCTGAGATTATCCTCTCGAACAGCTTTCCCACCTCGTCGAGCAGCACAATGGGCCGGTACGCGGACGGAGAGTCCGCAGGACGCCCCGGCTTCTTCACGAGGACCAGTTTACCCGTCTTCCACGACAGCGGAAACTGGCCTCTCTCCAAACATGCGCTGAACAGACCAAGTAGTCGAGGCCTGAGAGCCTCCGAGGCCAGGACCCAGACCTTGGCATGCAGCCCGTCAGGTCCTGGGGCGGTATTCTTGCCGCTCAGCCGGCGCACCGCCACTCTCAAATCTACCTCGGTCACTTCCGGAGCGGATTCGTCGTCGTCGTCGATGTAGCCCGCATTGGGCACCGCAGGGGGCGGGGGCATAGCCGGAGGCGTGTAACCCATCTGTGGTCGGGGGAATAGCGCCCCAACCACTTCGTCCACGACCTCCGGCCGGAGACTCTGAGTCAGTGGGGGCGCCCAGGTGCGGAGCTTATCACGCACCATCCGGTAGGGGCGTCCCCACGGGTCTCTGTTCAGAGTCTCCAACATCTCCTCGCGGGCCCGATCTTTGGCCCGCCGGATCTCCACCCTGAGGGTGGCCTTCGCCGCCCTGTACTCCTCGTATAGTTCCGCCTCTCTGGTTTCGGCGTCCAGAGGGCGGAGACGGAGCCTGCGGTGCCTGGTGTATCGGCGTCGCGCTGCGGTGCACTCACCGCGCAGGTCTGCCAATTCCTGCGACCACCAATACACCTGGCGCTTGCGTTGGCACGGTCGGATCCGGGGCATCGCCACGTCGCACATCCTTGACATGGCGTCCTGGAGCCAACTCGCCTCCTCGTTAATGTCGGCTGGCCTGACCGGTGGTATCACCCAGGCCTGCACGACTGCGGCTTCCAGGAAAAGCTCCCGGTCCAGTTGCCTAAGCGCCCAACGCGGGCCACACGGGGCCTGTCTGACTGGCGGGTCTGCGGACTCGGCGGAGACGTCGAACCGTATATACCGGTGGTCCGAAAACGTCTCCACCTCCTCCATGACGCGCCAGTCAACAACGCGCGATGACAGAGCGGGGCTAGCAAACGAAATGTCCACCACTGACTCGCCCCGCATCCGTACGCACGTGGGGACAGAACCCCGGTTCAGCACGACTAGGCCTGTCTCCAGAGCCCAGTCTTCGACCATCCTTCCCCGGACGTCAGTGAGCCGGGAACCCCAAGCCAAATTCTTGGCATTGAAGTCCCCGAGGACCAACACGGGGAGGGGACGGAACCCGACGACGACGGTGACTAACTCCCTGAGGGAGTTGTGGAACTCGACGAGAGTTCGGTTCGGAGAGAAGTACACGCCCACCACGGCGATCTCTCCGAACCGAGCCGCGACGCAACCCCTGCCTCGCTGAGGCCCTTCGGGGGTTGGGGTACCGGCGGCGGCCGACGAGATGATGGTCACCGAGCCGTCCAGGTCTGACACCCAGTGTTCCCTGGCTGGAACAAAGTACGGCTCGGAGACCACAGCAACATTGATAGACCACTGCGCCATGCTCTGGAGCAGGAGATCCTGAGCAGCGACGCAGTGGTTGATGTTCGCCTGGAGGAGGCGTAATGGAGCCATTATTGGGTATCCATCACGACCTCCTCTCTGACGGCAGCGGCGACAGCAGCAGTCGCAGGGGTGTTGGCGACTGCGGCGGCAGCGGGAGCGACGGTGGGAGCGGTGGAGGTGGCTAAGGGCCTACCTTTGCTCCTGGGCTTGGTGGGGGGGGAGCAGGTTTTGTCCCCAGCCCGGTGATCGGCCGGCTTGCCAGCCGCCGCACATACTACGCAGTGCGGCGGGGCGGTACAAGCGCCGGCCCTGTGACCGGGCTGACCGCAGCGGAAGCAGCGGTCGCTGCGGTCCACCTCTGAGGTGCATTTGGCACCCACATGATGGCCAATGAGGCAGCGGAAGCACCTCAAAGGTCGGGGTTCCAGCAGCTTCACCTGCGCCGAAACCCAGCCCACCAGGAGCCTTTTGCCCTCTGCCAGCTTTTTGGCCGCTGTGACGGGGCAGCTGACTACCACAGTCCGCAGCCCCGTATTGTCCGGGCGGATAGTGCCTGCCTTGACCTGGTCAGCAGGGCACCCCCCCGTCCTGGCGACAGCGGCCGCCACCTCATTCTCCGTCACGGAGTCGTCCAGGCCCATGATGCGTAGCTCCAGGCATTTGGTGGGCCTGGACACGCGAGCTTCGTCCGCCGCAATGCACGCCCTGAGCCTCTCGGCAAGGGCGTCAGCGGACGGGCCGCTGGCCGCGCCGGGGACCTCCAAGAGACGGGCTCCAGTGGCAGTGACCCTCACTGCGAACCCGTCGGGTGCCCCAAACTCCGCGGGAGTTACCGCCCCCTTTAATTTGGCGAGGACCTCGCCATACGTCACCCCCTTTTTCGCCGCGTCCGGCTGTAGTGTGATAACTACAGCCGAAGATTTTGGGGCGAGGAGCATTGCCGCAGCGCGCTTCTCCTTGCGCCGCTGCTGTCGCCGCTGCCGCTGCTCCTTCTTCCGGAGCTTCCTCCTCTCTTTGGCGACCTTCCTCACCTCCCCCGCCACTTGCCACTCGCTACCAGCACGCGACTCAGACGGCGGAGTAGGTGCCGATGCGGCTGGGGCTCCAGCCGCTGCTCCTCTTCGTCTGCGGCTCATCGGCGCAGGAGCCAGCGCCGAGGGAGACTCGGGCGCCCTCGTCGGTGACAAGGCTGGCGGCGCTTTCGCCCCCTTCTTCACCGGTGCGCTGGCTTGTGCCCCACGGCTGGTTGGCGGCTTGGGCTTAGCCGCTGCGGCAGCATACGACCCGGCTGCGAGTGGAGGTCGCAGGAGCCTACCCTCCAGCACGTCGAAACGCTGCTGGAAGGCGGCCATCTCCCGCCGCATAAGGCCGAGAAGGTCGGCCTCCGCTGGCTGCGCAGGTTGGGATCGGACTCCCCGAGCTGCGGCGAGCTCTGTTTTGGCTGCCCGAAGCTCAGCCTCCAGGGCAGTATTGGCAGCCACCAAGCGGGATAGCTCCCGCCGCATTCCAGCCAGCTCTTTTTGCATAGCGGCCATCTGCCGCTCAGCTGAGCCCGGCTGGGATACCGCCGACATAATAGCGGCTTCCGCATGTTTAAGCACTCCATTTCTGCCAGCCTGGGTTTTTTGCCCAGCCAGCATGCGGAGTGCTTCCTTTACTTGTAGGCGGAGGCTCTCAGCGCCGCCTACAGAACCCTCACCACCGGAGGTCTCCATCTCGGAGGAGTCCGAGGGGGCAGCCTTTCCCAGGGCGCTCCCCTCCGCTGCCAGCCGCTCTGCCGGCTCGGATCGGCTCCCAGCCGCCCTTGTGGAGCCCTTCCCCTTGCCCCTACCCCGCGCAGCCATGGGGATTTTGGGGGCTGGGGCCTCCTGCTCGTTGGAAGACGGCTCCAACCTGGGACGTTTAAAAACGCCCCGGTCTTTCTTGTGGCGCAGCGCGATGCTGACGCCAGACAATGATGAGTCGGACTCTGAGTCCGACTCCTTCCTGCTAGAGGCACGTGCACACGATGCATCTAGCGCCTCGGTTATATTCGCAAGCGAGCTGACCTCGCTTGCGTCCTCCTCACCGTTAGGTGGATTTTTATTTTTATTTTTCTTTATAGGCATCTCCATTGAAGTCCCACGAGTATGGGGGAAATAAGAGGTCCGCCCAGGGAGAGCCCCCTGTCCCTGGGTAAGTGTAAATTTGTCTCCCAACTAGGAGGTCCACCGGTCCCCTAGCTGGGGGTGCGCTCACAACTGATCCTACTCCTCAGCCATACATACCCTCGCCGCGCACCAGAACTTAGTATTGGAGGAATTTTTTATAGAGGTTATCTTCCTCGCGGTCCGGGCGGTTAAGCCAAGACCCTCGTCCCGGTCCGAGTCATAAAACATGACCATGATCTCTTCCCGGATTACGATATCGACGGGTGCAGTCGGGCGCAGCTAGTGCCCCGATGCTACTCATTGGCAGGGTGAGTGCACAACGAGCGCCGCCCTTGTTTCTCCGCCCCGCTCTCTGCTAGGTCCAGAGAGTCGTGCGGAGGAACGCCCCCACGGAGGCTTAGACCCTATGACAGCATAGAGCCGGTCGCCTCTAGAACCCGACCGGGTTCTCCGCCCGGCCAGAAGTTCGCTGCGGGCGACAGTCAAACCAACCCTGTCACCATCCCGTTAGGGAGACTGTCGCCCGCACCCAGGGTGCACCACGGGGAGGTCTTCTGGCACGCACCCCTGGTTGAAGTGGGTACGATCGCAATTAGGCCAACGTTTTAAAATTAAGGAGTTAATTAGAAAATGTTTTTCAGAGACTCTTTGCTGATCAATTTGTATAACTTATTGTTCGCTGTTTAATGCGGATTTAAGAGAAACCTACCTAAGGGATGGGTATTTATCACTAAAGCGCATCGTGATACCGAGTATTTTCTACATTCCTCGGTATTGAAATCGAAATTGTACATTCTAAAACTTGCATTTTGACCCGATTTTTTGCATAAGCCCCTTTGTTAAAGCGGAGAAATTATAATAAAATAGGTTCGATCCCCATGATATCTCATAACCGAAATAACTCGCCTATAAAAAAGTGCCGTATAGCTCGATAGATGGCGTTGGGATCGAGTTAAATCGCGATATGGTTTCGTTACACGGCAAATGAGTGTACCTGCAAAAAGACGTGCAGTATAGCGTGCGGGTCGCCGCCCCCAAGGCGGGCTGCGCGCGCGCCGGCCAGCAGCACGCGCATGCAGAACGGAGCCGCGAAGCACAGCCGCCGCTCCCACGGAGACCATGCGCGCATTGCCTGCGTATAACAATAATATTTACGTGCTTATATTAAGAACATATGTACTAAGAATTTCTTTAGATAAAATGAGTTATGTTTCACCTTTAATCACGAATCAAAATTATTTTCCTGAAAAATGGCTTCTCGTAGTGTAAAAACACAAACACATCATATACAAGATTTAATGAAATATTTTATTGGTCACGTTCGTTACCTTATAGAGTCCAAGCAGACTGCCGAGGCTGTAGACAGCGAGTGCGAGGTACCGAAGCGGCGCAGGCGCACAGTACACTGTCGCCGTCACCATCGGGATCGCTCCTGCAGACAAACAGACACCGCTGTTAGAATACGCTTGTCAGATAAGTGTGAGAGAGCCATGTTTCGGCACGAATGGGTCGGCTCGATCGGAGTGATACCACGGCCTCACAGAAAACCAGCGGAAAACAATCTCAGCGTTTTGTTTCGTTGTGTGATTGAGGTTACCGGAGGCCCAATCTTTCCCCTCCCACAGTTCCTCCCTAATCCCTCAATCTCTAAATCACCAATCTCCAAAAGGTCGGCAACGCACTCGTAACTCCTCTGTTGTTGATTGCTTACCATCAGGTAATCTGCCTGCTCGTTTGCAGACCTTTCACATAAAAAAACATTATATTGTAACATAAGAAGGTAAGTATTTACAAGTAAGTTGTTGCACGGAAGTATTTTTTGAAAAAGTGTATTGTTTTAAAATAAGCTGCGTATTATATACCTACGGTATGGGACTGGTAATTCAAAACATTACTACGGTAATCGATTTTATAATTTTTTCTTATATTATAATATATAATAATAAGGTATATATTACATAATATAATTATATTATAATATATAATATAATATATAAAAAATATAATTATAATATATATAAATTATATTAGGCTTATTTTTCAATGGTTAGATATAAGTTATCTGCGGAATAATTATAACGCTGTCGCGTCAGATTGTTTGAATAAGACAGTGACAGCAACAATTTTATTCCTCAGATAACTTTAGCTGACTATTGAAAAATCAACCAGAAATTTTTGTTATTTTTGTTTATTTAGTTGGCATTCGACGTACAAAGTACATGACAGTCGGATAGAGCCGCGGGAGGTATCCGGGCGGAACATTTCCGGGTGGAAAATATCCGACACAATCAAACGTTAGACATTCCACCGCTTTTTACACACAATTTTTCTTTTTCTTGATAGTTTTATATATTTTCGCTGTACAATGTACGAATATACGAAACCGTACTTCGGTTTAATATTTATTGTAATGTGTAGCTTTTGCCCGCGATTTTGTTCGTGAGGAACAGTTACTTCCTGCAGATTTTTGGTTTTACCTTTTTATTTTCCGATCTCGCTGGATTTTTGAGAAGTTCCCACTCCCGCGGAATTTGCGCCTTAAAAACTTTCCTATGACCTTTCTCTAGTTCCAAACTATGTCTGTAATAATAATTTAACTCTAATTTCAAACAAATCAGTTCAGTAGTTTAGGCATGAAGAAGTTTAAGTAATTGTGGTTTAGGTTCTTAATTCTATTAGATAATTTGTGTTCACTGATTTAGACTAAATGATGTACTTGACGAAAAACGTTAGCAAAAATCTACATAAAAGTAATCGTAGTTATTATAAGTACAAAAAATAAAATCTTATTCCGTTTTATTCCAAAAGTAATTTATTTAAGAAAATGTTGTCACGTAGCTTAATTTATACCAACTTCCTTTGCAGCACAATTTACACTGGGAAAATGGTTGAGATAACAAATTGCATTAAGATCCCGACGAGAACCATCCAACAACAAATTAATACTTCTCTCAGTGCACATTAGCATTCTGCTTAATTGAATGCATGTGTTTTTGCTTGGGAAAACAAGTTATATTACTCGTAATAAAAGAATGTAATTGCTCGCAGTAAATTATATTGTGTAGGTACTTACATTTTTGCTTAAAAGAAAATTTCGATATCTATATAAATTAAAGAAAAAGATAAAGAAGATATAGAAGAAAAAGAAAGAAGAGTAGGTAGAGTAGGTTAGGTAGAGTAGGGTAGGTAGAGTAGGGTAGGTAGAGTAGGGTAGGTATAGTAGGGTATGTAGAGTAGGGTAGGTAGAGTTGGGTAGGTAGAGTAGGTTATGTAGAGTAGGGTAGGTAGAGTAGGGTAGGTAGAGTAGGGTATGTAGAGTAGGTTAGGTAGAGTAGGGTAGGTAGAGTAGGGTAGGTAGAGTAGGGTAGGTAGAGTAGGGTAGGTATAGTAGGGTATGTAGAGTAGGGTAGGTAGAGTTGGGTAGGTAGAGTAGGGTAGTTATAGTAGGTTAGGTAAAGTAGGGTAGGTAGAGTAGGGTTAGGTAGAGTAGTGTAGGTAGAGTAGGGTATGTAGAGTAGGTTAGGTAGAGTAGGGTAGGTAGAGTAGGGTAGGTAGAGTAGGGTAGGTATAGTAGGGTATGTAGAGTAGGGTAGGTAGAGTTGGGTAGGTAGAGTAGGGTATGTAGAGTAGGGTAGGTAGAGTAGGGTAGGTAGAGTAGGGTATGTAGAGTAGGTTAGGTAGAGTAGGGTAGGTAGAGTAGGGTAGGTAGAGTAGGGTAGGTAGAGTAGGGTATGTAGAGTAGGGTAGGTAGAGTAGGGTAGGAAGAGTAGGGTATGTAGAGTAGGGTAGTTATAGTAGGTTAGGTAAAGTAGGGTAGGTAGAGTAGGGTTAGGTAGAGTAGTGTAGGTAGAGTAGGGTAGGTAGAGTAGGGTAGGTAGACTAGGGTAGGTAGAATAGGGTAGGTAGAGTAGGGTAGGAATAGTAGGGTAGGTAGAGTAGGGTAGGTAGAGTAGGGTAGGCATAGTAGGGTAGGTAAAGTAGGGTAGGTAGGGTAAGTAGAGTAGGGTAGGTAGTCAAATGACGGGAGCGACGCCGCGGGTAAGAGCTAGTCTGTTATATAATAAAAAAAATATTATTAAAAAAACAAAATACCCGACTGCACACTAAAAAAAGAGTAAAACAAGCCCCACAATACAAATTTACTGAATATAATTTATAAATGTTGATGGAAAGCATCGCAGGCGGGGACCAACAGAGGCTTATTTATAGTCATTTCTGTTGTGCACCATTTAGCAGAATTTTCGTTGGTGGCGGTCAAGGTGGTCCCCGCCTGCGATGCTTTCCATCAACATTTATAAATTATATTCAGTAAATTTGTATTGTGGGGCTTGTTTTACTCTTTTTTTAGTGTGCAGTCGGGTATTTTGTTTTTTTAATAATATTTTTTTTATTTATAACTTTTTAGCTGTTTTTATTTAACGAAAATGTTGTAGATGTAGAAGACTATGTATATGTAAGTACCATTTTAAATTATTTCGACGACATTTGGCTTTAGATTACGAGTGATGTTACTCCGCAACATAAATTTACCGCCAATCTGGACTGTTGGTAGTGAAGAAGAAAAAGAATTAGGTGAGTCATTACTGCTGAAGATCCCGCAAACGTTTAAGTTCAGTTAACGCATGAGTTGCTTTGCGTTGACGCAGAATTAACATGTTCCCGTGGGAATTTTGAGAAAAAACGTATCCTATATTAATTACTCCCGTGATTGAAATGAATCTAATGATACCGCATACATATTTTTTTAAAGGGAAATTTAGAAAAAATATTATTATGTCTTTATCCCGTGGGACTTTTAGGATAAAATGTATCGTATGACACTCCCGTAATCAAGACAAATCTAACGATACCTCATACATCAAAATCCATCAAGCCGTTTAGGCTACAGGAGGTCACAAAGGAAAAGACATACATACATACTTACATACACTCGAAAAACATTACCCTCCTTCTTTGGCAGTCGGGTAAAAATAAGTCGGGTTTCCCTTTCTGACGCTATAACTCCAGAAGGCACGGACCGATTTCCACGGTTTTGCATTCGTTGGAAAGGTCTCGGGCTCCATGCGGTTAATAGCAAAGGAAATTAAAAAAAAATAACAGAAAAGCGGGAATATCATTGTTTCACATACAGAGATAACTTTTTGAAATACATCTGGTGGCGAAACGGAGTTTGCCGGGTTTGCTAGTTTATTATAAAAGTCAAAATAATAAAAAATCCGTTTCATTAAAATAGCTATCCTGAACTTATATGTCTTTAAAATAAATATTTCTGATACTTTTCTTAATCCCTAAAACCCTTGAAAATATGAATAATTTTTATAAAATTACGACCTCAATTGCCCCAAGTAGCCACCGATAAAATTAAGAATGACGAGCAGAACTTACAAGCCATTACATCAGAATCACGATTAGCTATGTAGGTACCTTATGTAACCACATACTGTACGCGTCCGAAAAGTTCTTTGTCAGCTGTCAATCTTGTGATGGATGCGTTTTTAATGATCCTCTTTCCGAAATAAGTTTTATTGTAGTTGTAATAAATCCCTAAATATCCTTATTTTTAGACTCCACTGACGTACCTAGTGTATGGTGAAAAAAACATCTAGACGAAATCTTGATTAATAATTTCTAATCACTACATAGTATTTAAAACAAAGTAGCTTTCTCTTATCCTACCTCCCTATATCTATCTATAAATGCTTAAATCTTTAAAACTAAGCAACGAATTTTGATGTAGCTGACTAATGGTTTATATGTTTAATGACATCTATTAAATAGTAGAGAAATTTAGTATTTGCATTGCATCCGTGCAAAGCTGGAAAGTGTCGCTAGTATGAAATGAGTAACCCCCTTGAACAAGCGTGGTCTGGTAATTAATGATCAGTAGACCTTCTCCGTACGAGAAGAGGATTTATAACAGCTTGGAGTTGTCATGCTTACTGAAAGGTCACACTGGCGGTGGCATGGGCGCTGGATCGCTTAATTCCCTATAATATGGTTGAGTTGGGCGATGCTGGTGTACGTGTCATGCTCGTGAACGAGCGCCGTCAGTTGGGACTGGTCAGCTCCAGACTGTCTATTGTCCTTAAGGTTGCTTTATTTTTATATTTGAATAAATATTAGTGTTACACTGTTCTCACATAATTGAACCAACTGTTTGTAAAAGGAATCTGTATGTGAAACTGATTTAAAAAGAGTAACCATGGAGTTTCTTGCTCGTTCTTCTCCATCGGAATCTACACTTTGGAACGAGCAAATAGCTTCACTAAGAGGACTGACTGACAGACTGACACTATTTTTTATGTTAATTTTTGTTTGACGTTCAAAAGTGCCTGTAAAGGTCTAATTGGAATAAATGATTTTTGACTTTTGACTTTTTTTTGATTTCACTCAACAGTGAGCGTTTATACTTGTAGGCTGA